CTTTCCTTTCCCCTTTCCTTTTTCCTTTCCTTTCCTTTCCTCTTCCTCTTCCTCCCCCTCCCTTTCCTTCTTTTTCTTTAACTTTTAATTTTGAGATAACTATAGATTCACATGCAGTTGTAAGAAGTAAAGAGAGATCCCATGTACCCTTTATCCTGTTTCCTCCAATGGTAGCATCTTCCTTGCTTTCCTTTTAAGCCTCGTCTCTATCATTCTTGATCTCTTATTTGTGCTCTAGTCACACAGGTCTTTTTAAGAATTTTCTTTAATACAGCCCCTCCCTGAATACCATAGCTCATTTTCTTCCTTCTGCCTGGAGCGACCCCCCTCATCTACACTCATACCCTTAGCTTTTTTGACTAATTTAACTTGTGTATCCTTCAGATCTCAGCCTTATCATGATTTTTTTTTTTTCAGGGAGGCTTTTTTGGTCCTGTCTAGCTAGGTCAAGTTTATTTGATATATACCTTTCTGGAACCCATGTTCCTTCCCTTCAGAATATTTATCTCTGTATCTATAACTTTAGTTTTTTATGTGAATATATCAAATGAACCTAACTATTTTAAACTACATTCTTACTGGATTATTTATCTTTTCTTCTAGACAATAAACTCCTTAGAGTAGGAACCTCGTCTAGTTTTAGCCACCTTTGTAGTTCTAGTTTCTAGTACTTATCACAGTGCCTGTCACTAGATTCTCCTTAGTAAATATTTGTTGGTTGGGTGGATAAAGCCATTACAAGAAGGGGGAAAAAAAAAAAAAGACATAAAAATGCCAGACATTCACTTATTTTGGTAGTTTTATTCTTAGGATTTTTTTCTTATTTCTATACCCTTAGCAACAGACTATAAATTTTAAAAATTGTAATTGTTCACAAAGTAGGGTTTTTTTGTGTTTCTTGTGGGGTTTTTTGTGTGTTTTTGTTCTGAGACAGAGTCTTGCTCTGTTACCTGGGCTAGAGTGCTGTGGCGTCAGCCTAGCTCATAACAACCTCACACTCCTGGGCTCAAGTGATCCTCCTGCCTCAGCTTCCCAAGTAGCTGGGACTATAGGGATGCGTCACCATGCCCGGCTAATTTTTTCTATATATTTTTAGTTGTCCAGCTAATTTCTTTCTATTAGTAGAGATGGGGTCTCGCTCTTGCTCAGGCTGTTCTCGAAACTCCTGAGCTCAAACAATCCTCCCACCTCATGGCCTCCCAGAGTGCTAGGATTACAGGAGTGAGCTACCATGCCTGGCCGCCTTTACCAATTCTGTATTTTTTTTAAAAATCTTATAATGTAACTTGAGGAGTTTGTCCTATATAAAATATTTTTGGAAATAATATGGGATTTTATCTATCAACATAGTTTATTGATTAAATTAATGAATGGGGGATAGAGAGGTTCATGGAAAGGTGACATTCTGTGGGGGCTTTTTTTTTTGTAAAAGCAATGGGATGTGAGCTGTTCTTTGAAAGGTTAAGATAGATGTGAGTAAAAAGGCACAGCCTGACTAGAATTTCTCTTATGATAAGGAGGAGTTAGTTGGCAGTCAAATCGGATAGACAGAGTGTAGCCTGGGTTATACAGGACATTGTAAGATGGGCAATCTGAACTTTTTTAGAGAATAAAAATATAGGAAAACCATTGAAGAGGTACCCCCCCTCAGATTTGATTTTTGTTTTCCATAAGAAGAATAAGTTGGCATTTTCTTGCCCTTTCTTAATCATTCTAGAGTGACTCTGCAATGTATGAATTTTGAAAGCAGCTAGTCAGATTGTTCATTAAGATTTTCAACTGGTGGGGGCAGTCTGAAAAAGTTGCACAAGAGTTTCTCATGCTCAACCCCAACTCCCTGCACTTATCTTGTCCCATTATTAATGTTCTTCATAAAATAATGCTAGCTAAACAAATACTGTCTATGGTTTATGTCTTCAGGTAACTTTCCCCTCCTGTCTTTACTGATCCAGACTGGTTTTTTTTGTTTTTTTTTTTGAGACAGAGTCTCACTATGTTGCCCGGGCTAGAGTGCCGTGGCATCAGCCTAGCTCACAGCAACCTCAAACTCCTGGGCTCAAGGGATCCTCCTGCCTCAGCCTCCCGGGTAGCTGGGACTACAGGCACATGCCGCCATCCATGCCCGGCTAATGTTTTTCTATATGTTTTTAGCTGTCCAATTAATTTCTTTCTATTTTTGGTAGAGACGGGGTCTTGCTCTTGCTCAGGCTGGTCTTGAACTCCTGAGCTCAAACGATCCACCCGCCTTGGCTTCCCAGAGTGCTAGGATTACAGGCGTGAGCCACCGCGCCGGCCCAGACTGTTTTTTAAAAGTTGCATCCAGAATGCCCAATCTTTTCCTCATATAATATGCCCAATATTTTGCTCTTTTCCATAGGCTTATCTAAGAGGCAGGTTTTATTTTTACAAATCTAGGTGTTAAGTTTAATGTGTAATTTTTTTATATACTGAACTGAAAAAGCTAAAATATATTGGGCCTACTCCTGCCATGAATTTCTTTTGGTTTTCAGGGGTGAAAAAGGCAAAATTTATAATAGAGCTATTGCTTTTTGAAAAGTAACTTTTCCTTCCTTCTCCTAAAATTTCTATTCATTCTAGAAAATGTTAGCAAATACATACAAACTGTCATTCACAGACATTCATTATTAACAGTTTGATGTATATCTTTTTATCCTTTAAGACATGTTAATGCATGCGTTATTTGTGTCAGACTTCACATGAATATATAATAGTTTTATCAAAATAGACAAATATATGCCGTTTCTCAATTATTTTTAAACATCTGTCTCATTTTGATAAATACAGACATCTATTAGAGGTTCTAAAACTCCCTTAATCTTAGAAAATCGCCATCTTCTAAATTAAATCTATCTTCTGAACAGCCCCACTAAACTCACAAAGATTATCTTTGTGTCATGAAAACAGGTTTTTAAGTTTTCTAAATACAAAGTTTTGTTACTATATTTGCTTTGTCCTACTACACATTTCCCCTCCAGGAGAATATGGCTTTTCCCTCCCAGTTAGGAATTACTGCTTCACTATTTGTCACATCAAGTACTCATTATTTATCTATTTTGTCATTCTTTGCATGGGGAAGTTAAGGTTTTTTGGGAACAATTGGTTTGAGCCTAACTTTTTAGTATGCTAAAAGGCACACCAGCTCTTACTGCTTACCAGATTATTTAGTGACTTAGTGTATCAGGTTAATGTAATGGTAGTGTAAATGAGAGGTGCAGGAAGTACTGAAGTGAACAGCCATAATAAAGGATGGAGATGAGAAAAGTAGAGGGAGCCATGAGAAAGTAGAGCTATCTGGATTTCCATCTAACTCTTACTTGAGATCTACTTAGCCTCCCATCCCAGTTATAGGGAGCTTGAATATTTCATTTTCTTCTTTGTGATATTCTTTAGAAGCATCCTGTACCAGTATATCTTTCCCTTTGTTAACCAGTCATTTATCCCATCAGTCTGTTTTCTGTTAGTACCATCTTTCCTTTACACCCCCTTCAAACCTTTCATAATGGTTAATGTTCGAACATTCTTTCTTTTCTCTTTGTGTATCTTTTATATGCTAAGGGTTACACTAAGCTGGGGCTACAAAGATGAACAAAACATAATGCAGATCCTCATGGAACTCAACAATTGCATCTGCAAGACAGACATGTGAACAGATAGCTATTGAAAAATATGATAAACTATTGTGTGAAGACAGAAGAGCCAGTAGCTAATTCTGTCATGAAGGCTTTCACAAAGAATATGGCATTTCAAAAGAGTTTAGAAAATATATAGCATTTTTTCCCTGAGCAGCAGGGAATTTGTAACCAGAGGAGACAGCTTTGAAAAGCTTGAAGATATAAAAAATTTAAAAAAAGAAACCTTCCTCACATTTTATATCTTTATTAGAGATCAGACTAATGAAAATTACATGGTAAATGTTAAACTTCTCCCACTCATTCTGTATACATTATATATTCAAGCTAAGAATCCTCATTTTAGATATGAGTGAACTGAATATTTCAATATTTTTACTTAAATTAGATAAAGTGTAAGGAAGGTTGTCAGGCTTTATGTGAGAAAGTATGAAATCTAGAGATCTCTGTAAATCATCAACTGTAGACCTTGAATAATTTTAGGTTATTTCAGTACAGATTTGGGTTTTATTTTAAATATTTGACTTGGCTTTTTCTTTAAATACAGATAAGTGTTTGTATTCCAGAGTATATCACATAGCATGATAATGTTTTAAAGAATTTTTTTGCCTTTTAACCCAAGATTTTGTTTATTGAAAGCATAAATTCTCTTAGTAATTCTCTCAAATGCAATAATAATGCCTTTCAAATGAAAGCAATATTTAACCATTGTACAAATAAAACTTAAGTCACAAAGACCCAACTATTAATATAAGTTTAAAAGGGAAACTTATTGGCCCATCTAACAAAATTTAAAGAAGGATCAAGTCTAAACTCTTCATTTTAAGACTCTCAGCTATTTGTACAACTTCTCTTTCTAACCTTATGTCCCCATAAAATTACTTCATTCAGCCTAGTCTACTTATTGTCCCCTTACCTTTCATACCCTGCCTTCCATTTCTTCTGTCACATGTTCATTTTAAAAATATAGGAAAATGTCATAATATTTTAGATTGATTTATTATTAGAATATTGTTAGAGTAGATTAAAGTAATATTTATTGTAAATGTAGTCTCTTGATGTGCATGAGGTTTTTCTCCTCAGATTATTAATCATGGATGAATATTACATATTGTTAGAGTAAGAAAGCATTTGCTTTTTTAGATATAAATGTGGAGAACTTGTATACCTAAATAAGTAGATAGGAAATAAGTTTTATTTTAGCATTTTACTTAATTCTTTGAATTCCTGCATAATTCTGTCAAAATTTACATTGTGATTTAACAATTAAAATTATTTTTCAATGACTTATTAGATTCTAACCCAATTAGGCTCTTTTTCAATTTTATTGAAACTAAAGAATTAAAAAGTGACTTGCAAAAGTATTTGTTACCCAGACATTAGTATCATTTATTTTTTTCAACACCCATACTAATAATTTAGTTTGCTGTTTTGTTTGGCTCCTTGGAGATTTTCACATCTCAGGTCAAGGTACAATGGTAGGGTTCAGAGTAAGTGGGAAATATTACAGAGAAGCTTTAAGAAAGATCACTTATGGAAATTGATTCCCTAATGTTTGCCCGTGTGTCTATACTGTTTGAAAATCTTCATGTATCCCAGAGGTAGGCAGACTCCAGTTTGAACCAGTGATATAGTTCATTGTATAGACAAAGATGCCCATGACTTGCCTAGCTTCATAGATCATTTTTTAAATATACTCTTGATGTTAAGGTTATGTAGTCATGAGATTTTTCTGAAAGCTATTATTAGGAATAAAATGAATGGCCAGGTACAGTGGCTAATGTCTGTAATCCCAGTACTTTGGGATGCCAAGGTGGGAAGATCACTTGAGGCCAGGAATTCGAGACTAGCATGGGCAACATAATGAGACCCTGTCTCTACCAAAAGAAAAAAGCGGGCTGTGGTGGCGTACACCTGTAGTCCTAGTTACTTGGGAGGCTGAGGCAGGAGGATCTCTTGAGTCCAGGAGATCGAGGTTACAGTGAGCTATGATCATGCCACTGTACTCTAGCCTGGGTGACAGCAAGATCCTGTCTCTAAAAAAAAAAGAAAGAAAGAAAGAAAAAAGGAATAAAAAGAAACTCTCAAAGATTCTATTTATTTATTAGAACATTAGAAACATATTTTAAGATGAAAATTTGTCATAGTGTTTAAATTTCCTTGTATTTTAGCAATGTTCTTTTTTGTTTTAACAGGTGGCCAATATGTTCTACATTGTAGTGATTATGGCTCTCGTACTACTTAGTTTTGGTGTTCCCAGAAAAGCAATACTTTACCCTCATGAAGCACCATCTTGGACTCTTGCTAAAGATATAGTTTTTCATCCATACTGGATGATTTTTGGTGAAGTTTATGCATATGAAATTGATGGTAAGGATTTTATGTTAACAAATTCATCTTTTGGTTATTTTGTGTTTTAAAGTCAGTATTGTATCACTGTGTAATACTGCATGTTTTCAGAAGTCAAACTATTACCAAGCTAAGGCCCCCACAAAGGCATTGGTTAACTCCAGAAGAAACATAAAAAGTAATTGAAAAAAAAAGTATTTTAGAATTTTTTTTAGCTACAAGTAATGGAAATCAGTTCTAAATTGACTTACCCGATAAGGACATTTATTACCTCATACAATGAAGTTCAGAGGTAGAGTGAGTGGTCTTTAGAATTGGTTAATTAGTAGCTAAGGACCCTTGTTCTTTTTCATCCCACTACTCTGTAGTCATGATATCTGATTCATATACGTGTCCCTTATAATTATAAGGCGTCACTAGCAACAGGAGGAAAGAGACGCTTTATCCACGGTTCTCTTCAGAGAAAAAAAGTTCCTTTCACAGAAATCCCCTGTTGAACCTGTCCTTTCATCTCCTTAGCTCAGGTTGGCTTCAGCTTGCCTATCTCTGAAGTGGTTACAGGCAAGGGGTATGGTATTACCATGATTAGCTTAGACCAGTCAGAATGGATTGGATATTGAGGAATCAAACATAACGTTAATGACAAAAATAATGATCCTGTGTGAATCTTGAAGGGTTTACAGCATGTTGAATTTTCAGGGAATGACAGATTGTCAAGGTTGCTGTAGAAATTTGTGAGCACATTCTCTGGATAAGCTAATCAATCAGATAACTCCCACCTACTCAACCCTGTTTGTAAAGAGAATATTAAGTCTGTTGTGCACTTTTGAAACTATTCACATTTTGACTCTTAGATAGTCTTAGTTAATGATCCTAGATAACTTGTGAATATAGACCATGCTGTCACCTTTCAGGGATATTCTTCTACTGACCTCAGTATCTGAGTTACAGAATCTTTATTTTGTTAGTTCTCTCTCTCTTACTCTTTCTTCTTTCTTCACTCTTCCCTCCCCCCTGTGTTGCTGCCTCCCCACCTCTTCGTGGGTGATAGGGTCAAGGGCTGTCTGTGTAGTGAGAAGATTGTAGTTTGGTTGGTGGGTGGCCACACAGAAGATTGTGGTCATGAGTTGTTCTTAGATCGTGGTTAAAATAGTGATGTTTTACATGCCTGGTCAGATTTTGTGTTTATTGGCTTCCTGGTCAGTGTCATGTCCAGGTTTTAATTGTCTGCTGTTTTTCTCATGATGCGTCTCTAGTTGTTACAAAGCATTGGATATAATTTTTTAGTTTCCTTGTGTTCTCTTTTTTGGATATTTGCTTCCACAAACTAATCTGAATAGAATGGAAATAGATTCATAAGATTATTTAAGGGTCAAAGGACCTTACCATCAATTTGTCTGTAAAACCAGTTAAAGCAACAATATAGCCATTATGAGAATTTCAATGGTGTATATATATTTTAAAACAATTACCAAACACGAAGTGCTAAGTGTATTATAAATATTTATATAGAATGTGTCACTAATTCATGAATATTTAATTCCAATCCTTGCCCTACCCAAGTTAGTTTTACTTTATTCCTTATAACTGTGGTGGGTATTAAAGCCTCTTCCCTTACTTATTTGTATTCAACTATGTTCTGGCTTTAGGAATGGTCTTAAGTAGGGGTAATGAAAAGCAAGGAATCCAAATCTAATCACCGTATGATTGAGAGGCACTTCAGTCTAGCTACTCTTTCACCCTTCTTTTGTGACATAAGCTCAGTAATGTTTGTAAATTTACAGGGTTTGCTATGACTCTTAGGGTTCACATATTTTTATTACGGAAATATTATAGCATGACTGATCCAAAAATTTTACCCTCCTTAATGCTCCTGAGGCTAAGCCCTGCCTTGAAGGGTAAACACAACACCTAAATATACTTCCCTTGTCTGAAATAGAGTGGTAGAACAGATAGCACCCATCATTCCTCACAAAATCCTTTGTGTTGGAATACTTTTCAGCTGGAGTTCCTATGCCTGCCTGTCCAGAGGCTTTTGCTGGAATCTGTGAAACAGATTTGTAAATAATCAAAACTTCAGGTAAATTCAACAAGCATAAACACTGATTAATAGCAGTTACTGGTGAATTACCATAAAATTTTTTTTTTCTTTCTAAAGTGTGTGCAAAGGATTCCACTCTTACTAATATCTGTGGTCCTGGGACGTGGTTGACTCCATTTCTTCAAGCAGTCTACCTCTTTGTACAGTATATCATTATGGTTAATCTCCTTATTGCGTTTTTCAAGTAAGAATTTTATTCAATTGCTTATTATAATGAGATCAAGTAATATTTATAGTTCTACTCATTTTGAAGGAAATACATACAGAATTTAAAATCTAAAAATTTATTGAGATTTAAACTACTAAAATTATATTTGAAAAATTACAAATAAGAAGACATGCTTTTTGAAATCAAATGAGTTCTAAATTTTAGGCTTTATTATCTTTCGACAAGCA